CTTTGCTCGCCACTTGCAACGGACACTGGAAGTGTTAATAGTATTCTTAAAGAAATACATATATTTGGTAGACAGTCAATTAAACGTTGTTCAACTATAAAAGTTAGTACTTCATGTGGTGTCATTTGTTGTGGGAGTCTTCCAGAAAGTACGTTGATTTCATTACAAAGATCCGCTGCACTAATATCTTTTTGAGAACCATGAGTTAAAATTTCTTCTAGATTTCTACAATTTTTCAATAATGCTGCTGAAGATTTTGAACTTATAGAATAATTATCATGAAGGAAGCCAAACATACTATTATACTGTCGCATTTGTTCAAACCTTTCCGCAATAGACTGTATAGCAGTGTCTAAAATTTTAAAATAAAATTCAACTTTAAATTTTTCTTTTGGATCTTGCAACGCTTCATCTTGTGTTTCATAATCAAACTGTCGCTTTTTTCTCCTTCTCCCGAAATGTTTTTCTTCAAAATTTGTTACTGTTTCCAATTCTTTTGCAATTTCAGCAGCATCAACAATAATTCTTTGAAAGCCTTCATCGTTTCTCATTTTTACAAGTTTGTTTTTAGTAATATTTAATTGTTGTGTAGCTACATTCAAATCAACTTTCTTATTTTGTAATATTTTATTAGAAATATTAACTTCAAAAAGAATGTCGTACCATGAAACAAGGGCAACCATGAACTTGAATATGCAAATAGAATTTGCAAGCCCTTTAGCCTCATTTCGGGAAGAATTTCCTACTGATGTAGTTTGTAATCTTGGATCCTCAAATATTTGCATTAAAGCATCGTAAATTTTTCCGAGATTGTATCGTAATGGTTTTATCATTTAATGACTTGACAGTAAAATCTGGAAAATAGCTACGAAAAACTTGCCAACGAGAAGGTGATCCCGAAAAATAACTATAAATCTGTTGCACCACACCAAAAAAACTTATTGCATCTAAGCTAAACTTGCATGCATCATTCACAACTAAGTTTAGTGAATGTGTGCTGCATGGAATAAAAAACGCCCGAGGATTTATATCCAAAAATTTTCTTTGTACCCCATTCTCCTTACCCTTCATGTTGTTTCCGTTATCGTATCCTTGTCCACGGAAATTTTCAATTGTTAAATTAAAATTTTCCAATTGTTCAATTAATGTTTTTGCCAAAAAACCACCTGTAGATTTCTCCACAGGTATGAATCCTAAGAAATGTTCTTTAATTTAAATAAATCCCCATCATGCGATGTTGGTGATTCTAAATCAACAAAACGAATTATTATTGTCATTTGTTCTGAATGACTATTATCTGGGGTGCAGCCTAAAATTATAGAATAATATTTAGCAAATTTTACTCTAGTCAAGATATTATTTTTTATAGCATTTGCTAGTATTTGTATTAATTCATTTTGAATTTCTTTTTCAAGATAATGAGCAGTTTTAATTTCTTGATTTTTAATTTTTTGCACATGTTCATTCATTAATGGGTCAAATAAAGCGAGATACTCAACAAATTTTAAAAAATTACCATTGGCGTTATTGTAAAGCTTTTCATTTGTTCCACGAAATGCCAAGTTTTGCGTAGCCAGTACTCTGACTAAGGGAATTAATCTTTCTAAAATTCGTTGCCAATATTGTTCTTTTTCATTAATTTTTTGTTGGTTAATATGATCAATGGTTTTTTCTGTAGATAAACGTATATCAAGTTCTTTCTACATTTGAAAATTTACGAGATGTGAATTACTTTTTTCATGAGAAGAAAGAAGTGCTCCAATATTCTTCCAATCGTTTAAACCTGAACCTTCTAAAGCCGGCAAACTACTTTTGCTTTTACCAAATAATTTACAACATAAACAAAAAACTACATTTTTTGAAACTGAATATATAAGCCAAGAACGAGAGACTTCTTCTCCATTTGGTAATGTCCGCTTGTAATAGATTGATGAAAATTTTCTTTTTTGTTCATCTCGATCTCGTGGAAAGTTATATTTTTCAATTTGTTGCGGTCTATTTTTTATAACAAATTGCCGAAAATGGTCACTAAAATGAGTAGGCCAATTTGCAGGGTCACTGTAGTCTGCAGATGATAATAGGCTAATTTGAGTTTCAGTTTCAATTTGTCTTGAAATATTAACAGCAGGAGTTGCTTCAGGTAGATAAATTTGGTTTTCATTGATATTTACAACTTCGTTTTGTTGATTGGAAATATTAGCATTATTAACAGTATTATCGTCAACTATCATTTTAGATTTTTTACTCACACCGCTATCGCTTTCAGTAGCAGAATCAGTACCTGTTGAATATGTTTCTGCACGAAAATATTTCAAAATAGCTTTTCTTTGACTTTCTTTATTTTTCTTTACTGATAGTCTCTTTTTCTCAGACATGGTTAAAAAACGTAAGAAATGTGTAACTATAAAATATTTACTTATTACTTGCTAGCGTACAATAGTAGAATTGAAGTAATACACTACCTTTTCAATCGATAAGAATACTGTCAGTTAAATACTTATTATAAATAAAATATAATAGTCAACACTTAACTCTTTCGCAACCGCCGTTTTAACAAAAATCTTTTCGCTGTGACCGCACGTTTTTTTGAATAAAATTTGAAAAAAAAACTAATTAAAATTCGAATAGTATATCTTTTTAAAAGTGTAACAATTTGTTGCTTTGTTCAATTAATATATAGTTTGTTACAAACTATATATTAATTGAAAGATAAACAAATGAACTTTTTAATTAAATAAGTTTTTAACACGCATCGTTGAACAGTAAGAATAATTAGTAACAAAAAAATAAAAATAAAATAAATAAAACATAAAGTCCAAAATAAAACTTATTTAATGCATAAAAAGAACGTTTTTCTTGAAAAAAAACCTTTGTAATTACTTAGCTAAATACTCACACGCTTCTACAAGTTAAATTTTACAGTGTTAACGCTGCTTTATTTTACTAATTACGAACTAAATTTAAAGAAATTTTTTTTATCAAGGATCACTTGAGATTTTTTAACTTTGTCAAGTGATAACTAATTATAGTTACACATTATGGCTCTTACTTGTACTTGATTATGTAGAGAACTAAATAAACTTTAAGAAAAAACAAATTATGTGTCTAGATTTATGCACAAAACAGGATAAATTGTGAAGCATACTCGAAAGCCGCTACCAGCGGCTTGCAGTCATAATAAAAAAAAAATCAAAAGCCGCTATCAGCGGCTTGCGGAGGGAAAGAGTTAAATTGACATTTATTCAAAGAATCAGAGACAGACAGAAGAAGTATCTAGTACTCGTTGACCAAACGCAAGCGAATGAATGTGAAATAACTGACTGAATATGCGGGCGATCGAATGAACATGAGGAACAGCGAGCGGATAATATACAATTTTGTTTGTTGTGTTTATAATTTAAAAAGAAAATATTTACTTTATTTGGAAAACGCAACTCAAGTTGTTAATTGTCTCTTATTTTATTAATATAAACACAGACGAGAGACAAGAAGCAGGAGTCACTATTTAATAACATTACAACACTACATGTTGCCTTTGCCTAAAGCCTGCGAGTGATACGCTAATTTGCCTTGCAGTTTATGCTCAATTACTGGAAATGGAAAATTTCTCATCGTTATATATAATTTTTATAATTATTATAAAATTATAATTTTAGTTAGAATTTTTATATTTTATTGGCAGCTGCCTAGTCTGCCTAGTGCCCAGCGCCGGCTCTGAATACATATATATATAATTATAATATATATACATATTAAATATATATATATCATATATATAATATATATATATATATTTATATATAACATATATATATATATATATATATATATATATATATATATATATATATATATATATATATATATATATATATATATATATATATATATATATATATATATATATATATATATATATATTAACAATAGATGCCATGGCATTTATTGTCAGCAATCAAAACATACCAATCAGTTATGGGCTTCAGAACCAAAAATACAATAAATATATATTAATTAACAATCAAAACGCTGTTTTATAGCTAAGTTACTTAGTAAGTGGTAAATACCGTATGTAAAATACAATAAGTAAACTAAAATAGTAGAGACATAATAAATAAAAAATCTAATTGCAAAAATCCTTTAGATTCGCGCTATTTTATAATGATAAAACTGTTAAACATAACGGTTGAACATAACGCTTTACAAATATCATACAAATAGTTTTGGCCATAAAACTTTTAACTTAACATAACGCTAACATAATGGTGAACATAACGCCAAAATTTTCTATTACCGTTGAGTAACCGTTATTTTAGCGTTATGTTTTTTGCGTTATGTTTAGCGTTATGTTTTTTGCTGTGCGGAAGATGAATTTTTTAACTTCGAAATCAATAGACAATAAAAATGAAGTAATCAAAGGTAAAAAAAAAAGAAAGAAAAACCTACATACTGTGTTAACCTATGTACTGTGTTAGCTTTTCGAGAAATGGCAAGGATACACACCAATTAATACTTTTTGTCGTTTAATGATTATGCCTCCTGGTATGACTAAACGTTGTCACCATGACATTAATAATAAACTTCACGTTGCTTATATTGAAACCTCTAGGGAGAGTTCAGAAAAAGCGTCAGAGGGCATACGTAGGGAAAAACTAAGTGAAAATTATGATGAATCATCAATTGTCAATGTTGATGTTAGTTTATATGCTTCATGGCAACGGAGAGGATCCTGCCTAATGAACGGTATAGTCACAGAATATCTCATGGAAAGTGTATTGATGCTGCTGTCTAGACAAAAAGTTGTTACCCGTGCAAGATATGGTCAAGAAGAAAAGGTACTCCGGCTTAAGAGAACTAGAAGATCACACATCACTGCAAGGATTAATCATAAGCGTAGTTGTACAAATATTCAAGCAACCTGTAAAGAACCTTAGACTCAAGTACCTAATATACATTAGAGATGGAGATACCAAGTCTTATATGCAAGTTTGTGATGTAAACCTATGCCCAGGTGAAATTATTGAGAAAGCAGAATGCATTGGTTCAGAAGAGAGTTGGTGCAAAACTACAAATGTTGCGAGATTGTTACAATGGTTATACATTATCAAATGGAAAATATATCTCTAAGAAGGAAGATTAACTAATAAATGGATAAATTCTCTTAAAAACTATTATGGAATAGTAATATTTCATACCATAGAGATTATCAATAAAATATTGATAGTCTATATGGTATCAAAAAGGCCTTTGCTGCAGTACATTTTCACTGCGCACAATCTGACAACTTATAGCAACAACATCAATTTTGCCCATAAGATTCAAGTTCATGATGTAAGTTAGGGTGCATCAAACGCCCCATACTTTCAAAATTTGATCTGTCCCTATTCTTAAAACCATCTGTTGGTTCTCACGAGACACTCTGTTAAATTTTTTCAAAATTGAATGAGATTTAGGGGGGCCATATTAAGTCTGAAACTTGCAACGAGACCTTAAACAGAAGAAAAAAAGTTTTTCAAATGTATGTCATGTTGGGTCTCAAAAGAAGCGAAACTTTATAAAAATTTCAAAAATAGTTATGATTTTAATTAAGCTCATTAAACCAATTTTTTCCCACAAGAATCTTGGCAGTGAGGAATTGCTTAAGAAATGTTTACATGGTTAAACTCAAAATATCAATGAATCGCTAAATGGGATGGTTTGGACTCGTGCACCCAATATACGTACAACAGTTGGAGTTCAGGGTTTACTACTAGTGTTTGAAAAATGTAACGTTGAGTTTGGATATTTTACAACGAATAGTTCTCTAAATGTAGATTATGTATGCGTTAAACAGAATGAGATAAAAACTACAGTTGCCACAAAAAACAGGAGAAAAAAGCTAAGAGCTATTAAAAAGGTTTTATTGATCAACATAACGAAGAAGACAGTGTTACATACAACAGTGGTGGTTTTTAGTAGGTTTTATTGTGTAAAAAACTTAATGCACTTTTAGATTTTCAGCAATGATATTCTTGAGTATACTTGTGATGTGCTGAACCATAGAAAATTAACTTTTTTATATAAATTATCAAAATTTGATTTTCAGCAAGCTGTACTCATACTTTTTTTCTTTTTATTGATAGAATTTAATGATTTTAGAGTTATTAAATGTTTTTGTATAATTGTTTATTGTATAATTTTAAATCAAGACATTTTTTGAACATTATAAAAATAGTTATAATGTTGGGTTTGTAGAACATGTATGGTTCTCAAGACATTCTTGTTAAAAGAAGGTCCATTTTTTTGCTTAAATGTTGTTAATTTATGCGCATAATTATTAAGCAGGGGTAAAAAAAATAATTTTTTTATTTTTTGAAATGATTTAATCTAACACTTCAGCAAAACATAAATGTTCCCATACAATATCAAGCTTTATATTTTTTTCCTCTTAAAGGGTACTACACCTTAAGGTAGCATACCGTCTCAAAAATCAAAAATATTTCAACTATTTTTTAATTGATTTTTTATGCAGAATTTAACGGAGATATGAAATTAATATGAAAACAGCTTTTTATAATTAATTCATTTGTTTTTAGTGGAAGTTATGTTTTAGTGGACATTTAGTGGACAAGTATGTTTTAGTGGACATATTCTTGATGAATTGATGAAACAGAACGACATATATTGTCCTCGATATATAAATAGCTGGTGCATATGGCGATCAAATTATAAAGCTAAATTAAATCTTCCATTAGCAATAAGTGAAAATTTAAAACCCATCTTTCAAGACTTGAAAAATGGGTTTTTAAAATTGGAGAGATTAATTATTACCTAAATGTTTGCACGGATAGACACAGAATAATAATGAAACAACTAACAATTTTATTTGGAAAAAAATGTCCTAAAGATGTTTATGTAGGGTAGACCAGGGCGATTTTGCCACATTTGCTGCTTTAATGTTGTCTGATCATCCTGATACGCTTTTACCGTATACCATGTTAATTGCGCAAAATTTTGAGAGGTTTTGTGTGAGTAGGGTTTGAAATCTTCTTTGGAAAAGTATCGTTTGTTCTTAGTAACAAAATTTTTTTATCTCCTTGCTGAAAATTGAGGTATTCTCTGAATAACTTCCCTTTTATATAATCGTGTTTTTTTAAAGTGTTTCGGAGAGGGTAGAGCTCGCAATAAGCAAATGTATCTACAATAAGTCTTCTTTTCACAACCATCTCTTCCCATACACTGTTAAAAAAGCATAGAATTAATCGCGAGGTAAAGAAATTGATGATCCATCAAAGAGTTGTTCGGACAAAGTCTCAGATCAAATTTGTTTTATTATCTTATTATAGTATGTGTCCAGCGTATTATTGAAATGTGATTATTGAAACGTTTTAAATAATCGATAAAAATATCTTATCACAGATAAATAAATATAAATATAAATTTTTCCTTAAAGTTTTATTTGAAGTTAAATCAACGTTAACATTTACCATACTTCATGGAGTTTCAAATAACTTCAAATGTTCAAATTCTTAAAGCTTTATTACTTTTTTTTTAAACTTGGAATTAATATTCCTAGCACATTAACATACTAAAATAGGCACTTCAACATTTTTTTTCAAATGTAAAACGAAAGCAAAACAAATACCAAACCAAATTTTTTCTAAAAAAAAAATATCTCAAAAAAATGTTTTTGTAATGTTAAGCAGTGGTTATACTTTTTGCAATAAACAAATAAAAAGAAATTTTATTTTAAGTCATCGGTTAAACGATGGAAGAAAATATACCTCAAATTTTTTTTGTCGGCATGAAACGCTAGATCTTTTTTCATTACCCGTGTTTTGTTAATTATCGATATTACGCTCTCAGATGTTGAAGTGACTAACTAAAATTCAAATACTAGGTAAATTTATCTTTAGTACTATCTCAGATGTATCTTTTTAAGAAGTTAAAATGCTCAGTATCTATGTTCTTTTCCAAAGAAATGGATACATTACATAGGCAAAAAAAAAAAAAAAAAAAAAAAAAGAGGATCAATTGCAATTAAATTTTATTTTATTTCAATTAAATTTATTTTTTTAACTAAAAATTTGAAATAAAAAGTAATTAATGACTAATTAGACATTTAAGAAGCCATTTTTAAAAATTTTCAAGCATGATTAAACAAGTTTTGCAAATGCTATTGACTTCAAATTTTCAGGATATGTTGCTTGATTTACTTCAAATAATAATTGCTTGTATAACTATTAAAAATATTGTACAATATATACTTTTTTTAATTGTAAAGCTTTTTCATTATCCTGTGTTGAAATCACCCAACATTATTCTACTTTTTCATCATCCTGTGTTGAAACCAACATTATTCTACTTTTTCATCATCCTGTGTTGAAACCAACATTATTCTACTTTTTCATCATCCTGTGTTGAAACCAACATTATTCTACTTTTTCATCATCCTGTGTTGAAACCAACATTATTCTACTTTTTCATCATCCTGTGTTGAAACCAACATTATTCTACTTTTTCATCATCCTGTGTTGAAACCAACATTATTCTACTTTTTCATCATCCTGTGTTGAAACCAACATTATTCTACTTTTTCATCATCCTGTGTTGAAACCAACATTATTCTACTTGAGTAAAAATCTTTTTAAATCGTTTTAACAAATTTATCCAGTTAAATAGAAAATTGCTAAGAACTATAAAAAAAGGATTCATAGATAAAGAAAATAAAAAAAGCATCATATTCTGCGGGTGGTTTTTGGAATGATAACAAATTTATCATTTTTTAATTACAAAATCTTTAAGAGCATTTTTCTTGTGTTTTATTTTTTCTTTATACTTAGCCACACATAAAACGTGTTTAATCAACTTCTAATGAAGATTCTAATAAAGATTTTATATTGACATTTTCAGGAAATATTCCTTGTTTTGTTGTCTGGGGTTTGTACCTCACGGAAAGTTTAATTTTTATTTTAAGTAAATTTTTTTTATCCTTTTGGTACTTTGTTTAAACATTTAAAAAAAAATTGATTATTTATAAAAGTATTTATTATTTTTACACAGGTGTTAAAAACCCTAGTGCGCCTAACATATCCTGAAAATTTGAAGTCAATACCCAGTAAGCACAAGACGCATTTTAGACACTTATAGACGACTAAAACTAGTCTAGGTAAAGACGCACTTTTGTAGACGTTTTGAAAACATCTTTTAGACGTCTTTTATAAATGAGTTTTTAAAATGACGTTCAAAAGGCGTCTTTTTAAAAGATAAAAAGACGTCTAGAAGACGTCAATTTTTAAGACATCTTCTAGACGTCTTTTATAAAGGCGTTTTTAAAATGACGTCTTTTTAAAGTTTAAAAAGACGTTTAAAAGACGCATAATAAATAGTCTAAAAGACGCATTAAAAGACGTCTAGATCAAAGCTAAAAGACGTCTTTTCTGAGACCTGTTTATAAATATGTCATTATGACTTCTTTTTGACGGCTTTGTCATTACGCGTTAAGTAGATGTCGTATATTCAAAGTAAAAACATAGTTTTTATTATTTTCAATAATTTGTTCAAGTTTTAAGTGTAAATTACTTTAAATTAAATTACTTTTTTACACAATTGCTAAAATTGTTGTCACAGGAATCACTAAAATAATTGCTATAATATTAATATATCTTTTTTTTATTAATAATTATTTTGCTTTTTTAATAGATAGTTGACTGATCATGATAATAAGTGAAAATGGCAAGAATAATATATAAAATAAATATCAGTATTTTTAGTTTTTATATACCCACAAGCCATATAATAAGTCAAGTATGCTGTCAAAAATTAGCTAACAATACATAAGATAAATTTTATAATAATTAAGGATAAGTTATAAATGTTTAAAATACTGTTTTGATATATAATTGTTATTGATATTTATTATTTTCATCTCTGCATCATCAACCGCTGTTGGTGATAGCTATATTATTTAGATTGCTGGTTCCTATGTATATTTTGTATATACGAGATTATAACAATATTTGACGTATAAATACAATGAATGTATACCACATACTACGCGAAAATGTTACGTCATGTACTTTAATTCATCTTAAAATAAACGTCTAAAATACGTCTAAAACGCGTTTTTATAAAGACGTCTTTATATGGACGTCTTTTAGCCTTATGATCTAGACGTCTACAAGTGCGCCTTTTAGACCTCCTTAAAGACATCTTTAAAACGTCTTTTGAACGTCTTTGTGCTTACTGGGTAGCATTTGCAAAACTTGTTTAATCATGCTTGAAAATTCTTAAAAATGACTTCTTAAATGTCTAATTAGTCATTAATTACTTTTTATTTCAAAATTTTTAATTAAGAAAATAAATTTAATTGAAATAAAATTTAATTGCAATTGATCCTCTTTTTTTTTTTTTTTTTTGTCTATGTAACGTATCAATTTCTTTGGAAAAGAACATAGATACTGAGCATTTTAACTTCTTAAAAAGATACATCTGATATAGTACTAGAGATAAATTTACCTAGTATTTGAATTTTAGTTAGTCACTTCAACATCTGAGAGGGTAATATCGATAATTAACAAAACACGGGTAAAGAAAAAAGATCTAACGTTTTATGCCGACAAAAAAAATTTGAGGTATATTTTCTTCCATCGTTTAACCGATGACTTAAAATAAAATTTCTTTTTATTTGTTTATTGCAAAAAGTATAACCACTGCTTAACATTACAAAAACATTTTTTTGAGATATTTTTTTTTAGAAAAAATTTAGTTTGGTATTTGTTTTGCTTTCGTTTTACATTTGAAAAAAAATGTTGAAGTGCCTATTTTAGTATGTTAATGTGCTAAAAATATTAATTCCAAGTTTAAAAAAAAAGTAATAAAGCTTTAAGAATTTGAACATTTGAAGTTATTTGAAACTCCATGAAGTATGGTAAATGTTAACGTTGATTTAACTTCAAATAAAACTTTAAGGAAAAATTTATATTTATATTTATTTATCTGTGTATTTATAACCCATTACTTATGGAGCTCCACAGACTTGGAATTAAGAATTGTTGCATAGTTAAAAATAGGTAGAAAAAAAACACACAAAAAGTTAAAACTCTTTACTTTAAATAGTTTTTAAACATTAAGTGAGCTATATATATATATACATATATATATATATATATATATATATATATATATATATATATATATATATATATATATATATATATATATATATATATATATATATATATATTGTGTCCTAATTCCAGACTTGGAATAATACACAAAAAATTTATTAAGTTCAAGCCTAATCATAAAAATGTTAATTTATTTAGATTCTAATTCTTGTAACTATACAAAACAATAATTATCAATTTTTATAAAACTATTCACAAACTTTATCGCCCATGTCTGTAACTAAAATTTTTTTACCAAAATTTTTTAAATCGTTTAATTCTATAGGAATGTCACTTTTAGAGGCTTCCAGTAGGTCTTTAAGTTCTTTACTGATTTTACAGTCTAGAGTTAAAAAAGTGGTCGCTAAGCCTGGCCGTCCAAAACGACCAGTACGACCACATCTATGAATATAATCTTCTATAGTATCAGGAGTGTCAAAATTTATAACATGTGTTACTGTTACTATGTCAAGTCCTCTACTCATTAAATCAGTTGCAACAAGTACATCAAATAAGTTCTCTCTAAAATCAGACAGAACTTGATTACGTTCTAATTGTGTTTTATCAGAATGTATAGCAGCAACATGAAACTGTTCAGCCAGTAAAAATTCAGTTAAACTGTCTGCTTTAGCTTTTGAGTTTGTAAAAATGATAACTGGAGGGTAAGGTGTTCTACGTAAAGTTTCTAGTAAGTGTTTATGTTTCATGTAAGTATGCATAAAAATAACATTTTGTGTAATATTTTGAGGAACACTCATTTCAACGCCAGTACAAATATAAACAGGATTTATGGTTGCAGATCTTGCAATACGTTCCAATGATGCAGGTAATGTAGCTGACCAAAGGGAGGTGTGTATATCATTTTTGTTTATAGTTACCAACGCAATAATCTTACGTAATTGTTCCTCCATTCCAAATTCATCAAGCATTCTGTCACATTCATCAATAACTAGATATTTAATACCAGCTAAAGACAAAAGGTTTCGCTCACAAAGGTCAATAAGCCTACCTGGAGTGGAGACAACAACTTTAGTATATGGTCCCAATTGAGATACATCATGACTAACAGATGTGCCACCACAAAAACCTGCAACACATCTATTACTTACCCAGTCAGTTTTAAAATTATTATTTGTTTTTATATTTGAATTAAGCATTTGTAAACTATCAATACTGTTTTTTAATGTCTGATGCTGCACATCATGTAAAGGTAACTGATACATGTTTGATATATAAATGTTAGTTTGAGGATATTGATATCCAGTTTCTAATGCAATTTGGTTTGGCCCTTTGAAATATAAATTATCTCTATCAATAGGCATATTTGAAAGAACTTCTATAAAAATATTTCTGACTTGATTCATCAATTCACGTGTGGGAACAACTATTAAACATAAAGGAGATATTTCTGATTGTATATTATATTTCTGTTTATTTAAAAAACCACAAATTGGTAAAAGGTAAGCATATGTTTTTCCAGATCCAGTTGCACTCAGACCAATAACATCACGATTGTTTAATATGCATGATATAGCTTGCATCTGAATTGGAGTAGGCTTGTAAATTTTTAGTTTTTCACTAAGGTAATTCATACACCAGTAAGGAAGTTCCATTTCTTCAAATGACAGCATTGGAGCCGGAACATTTTCTCCATCAACTTCTATCCCATATTTATTACGTAGTTTTTCTGTATCGTTATTGTATGGAAGCTGTTCTTTCGATCCAACTAAAGAAACATCGGGTTGCCAACGCAATGGCTTATATGCTTTCATCTCGTTTGGTTATAAGATATAATACCATAAACATACTTTTCAAAGTATATTCAGAATTTTTCTATAATCAAAATAGTTTTTAATAATAATTATCATAGGTTTATTTGAACTCCAAAAGTAATTTTCAAAATTCTAAAAAAAGTCGCCAAAAAAATCTTAGCGGTGTAAACGAATACTGTACCGGACTACACAGGACCAACACCGAGTATAAAAAACAAAAAAAATTGAAAAAAAAAATTAATTTTGAATTTTAAATTTAACTTTAATTGAACACCCACAATTACTAAACCCATTGAGCTTACATTTTCATCATTAAGCAAAGTATTATTAAAAAAAAACTGACTCGCACAGTTATGGATTTAAAACTTTGTAGTTTATACTCCTATCGATACAGAATACATAATTTAAACAACAACTACACAAAAATTAGGCGTACAGGGTACTCAACAGACTTAAAAAGTTTTTGCTCGAACAATAAAACTCGAAATCGTATGCAATAAAATTTTAAGTAAAATAAGTATTTTTACTTGTGCCACAAGTAAAAAACCCACAAGTTGTGGTTACTCAATTAATTAATTAGATTATTAATAATTAAAGATTTATAATAACTTAAATTATTATAAACCTTTTGTTTGAAGTTGTTATAAACCTAAATTAATGAAAATTAAAAAAATAATTATATATATATTTATACATCAATTTTTACTATATATATATATTTTCTTTATTACAATCATTAATACAATCTCTGTTACAACTTTATGTGAATAAACCATAAGACATAAAATAATAATAATAATAATATTTACAATAACGATTTCGTTAACAATAGAGAATTAAGCAAAATTAGGAATAAAGAATGCGGAAACTCGAAGAAGTTCTTGAGGTCTTGTTGCAGAGAACCGCTCGCTTTAAATAAATTCATTTTTATAGATTTTTTGTTGATATTTATTCCCTTTTGAATTGGATCTGTTTCGATAAATAATTATATAAACCAATGCAGTACTTTATCAAAGAATAGTTAAAAATAATTAATATACTTCAGTATAATTATTGATATTTATATGTATTAGTTTAGTTTTATTAGTTAGTTTAGTTTATTAGTTTATTTCGCCGTTTAAAATATTTACAAAGTACAACAATATAAAAAGTACAATTGGCTGGAGCAGCAAGAAGGCATAAAATAGCCTTATCACCGAGCCCCAATAGTAACGCAAATAACTATCCGTAATATACAATAATCCGTAATATATAAGCAAAAGTATTTAAAAAAAGACAATTTAAAATGTTAAGAAACAAAGTTAAAAAGAAGAAAAAAAAAAAAAAAAAAAAAGTATTAAAATAATTGAAGAAAAATAAAAAAAATAAAAAGAAATGATTAAAATATAGTAATAAAAATGACAAAAATTTTCTGTTTTTGGTTATAAATTGGATGTGATTCGACATATATATTTGTATATATTATTTTCTTTCAAAATAATTCAAAACTCAAATAAAAATTCTGTTCCAATATTATAAAATATATCAAGAAAATTGTAGGTAACTTTAAGAGAATATATATTCAATGAAAGTATGATAAAGACATTGAAATTCTTAGTATTGTTAAATGGTCTAGATTTTTAAATTTATGGTGCTAATTTAGTTTAATAAATTTTAAAGCTTTAAAAGTAACATTGAAGATCTGCTATATTAAAATCCGTAAGTACTAAATGGCGTCTTAATTTAGATTTGAATTGCGGAAGTGTTTTTTCTTTAATATTAACAATAGGCTGAAGGTTTTTCCACAAAATTGGACCCCTGTACTGAATAGAATAAGAACATAACTTTAGATTATACTTTTGAGTTACAAAGTTATTTTCTGAGAACTTGGTGGGGTATTTATAGCTTACTTTTCTAAAATAAGGATAGAATATCTCTGGAGACAGTCCATGTTTTATTTGATACATGAACTGTATGACGAGGAATATGTTAATTTTAAACACATTTAATGCATTGAGTTTACGTAGAAGTGGCTCACAAGGCACATATCCTTTTACTCCAAATACAATTCTACATGTATGTTTTTGTTTAGTATAAATTTTCTTTAACTTAGCGTAGCTGTTGCTTGCCCATACGATATTGCCGTAAGTTAGATAGCTATGTATGAAGGAAAAATATAAACTTTTTAGAGATCTTATATCCAAAAATGGTTTTGCTTTATACATCATTGCAATGTTTATTGAAAGTTTTCTTTCAAGAGTATTTATATGTTTCCTCCATGTTAAATTTTCGTCTAAAATAATACCTAAAAAGTTTACAGTTGTTTGCCTAGTAATATTTATATTATTGATTTTAAGATTGGGTAATTTTAAAGGAAGGTTTCCTGTTTTGGTTGGTTTGTGAAATAGAATAAATTTAGTTTTGTTAACGTTAAGTGAAAGTTTATTACAAATAAACCATTCATTTACTTTGTTTACTTCTTCATTAACTACTTTAAAGAGGGTTTTAATATCCCTATGAGAATAAAACAGATTGGAGTCATCAGCAAACAAAATAAAGTTTAGTATGTTCGAGTTAAGAGATAGATCATTTATATAAAGAGAAAAGAGTAACGGTCCTAAGATTGAGCCTTCATAAACTCCACATTTTATTATACTTTATGTCGTTTTAACATTTTCATATTGAATGTATTGCTGCCTGTTTGATAAGTAATCTTTAAACCATAGTAAATTATTGTTTTTTATTCTATAATGTTCAAGTTTTTTTAAAAGAATGACATGGTTGACTGTGTCAAAGGCTTTAGACAGATCAATAAATACTCCTAATGTAAAACGGTCATCATTAAAGGCATTGGTTACATGAGTTACTAACTCGGTCAAAGCGTGATCAGTTGAATGATTTTTTTTAAAGCCAAATTGCTTGTTGTACAACATGTTGTTTACTGTTAAGTAGCTGTTTAGCCTATTATACATTATACGCTCGAGTAACTTAGAAAAGCATGGTAAAACTGATATTGGTCTATAATTTGAAGAATCTGTGTCATCGCCAGACTTAAAAATAGGCAAGACCCGTGCAATTTTTAATTTTTCTGGAACTGTTCCAGATTGAAGAGAAAGATTAAAAATGTGATATAAAGGGGTTTCTATAATATGAAAAACTGATTTAACAACATTTATGCTAATATTATCAAAACCTACACTTGTGTTGTTTTTAAGATTATCTAGAGCATATCATAACTCATTAATATCTAGTTTAGATTCGTCCATGACCTTATCATATGTTTTTAAATAAGAATCAAACGATGATGAACTTAAAGGAATTTTTTCAGCTAAGTTTGGACCAATATTAAGAAAGAAGATTTTCAGCTACTGTTGTTTTGTCATATATTATTTTACCATCTACTAAGAGTTTTTTTGGTTAAATACGTATTCCATTATTTTTTCTGCCAATAATTTCCTTAATTACGCTCCACGTACTTTTGGCATTTCCGTTAGTTTTTTTAAACAACTTTGAATAGTAAATTTTTTTTGATTGTTGTTTAGTTTTTTCAAATATATTTTTATAAAGTTTGTAGTTTGTTTCATTTTCATGCGTTTTTTTTTTTAAGAATTTTTCATGCAACTTTTTTTTTTTCTTTGAAGATTTTAATAAGCCTTTAGAGATCCATGGAGCTTGATATGACTTGGTATTTTATAACAATTTTTTTCTCCGGAAAAGCTTTTTCATATTGCTCACAAATAGTTCATAGGCATTATTTACCTTTACCGATTGCATTATAAGATCCCAATCAACGTTATATTTTAAAAGGTGTTGAAATTTTTGTAAGGAGTATTTATTGATCTGCCGCCTGTATATTATAAATTTAGAAGAATTATTATTAATTGTTATATTATTAGTTATTAAAAAAGTAGGAAAATGATCTGATAAGTCTGTTTTGATTATACCTGTGGAAATATAGTTGTAATAAAAATTGTTAGTGATTATATTATCAAGTAAAGTTGAAGATTTCTTAGTTATTCTGATTGGTTTATTTATTGTTGGAATAACCTTCGACTATATAAACTGATAGACATGCCTTACCGTAAGTTAACATTTACAAACTTTTGAAGCCAACATCTTTTAGCGCGTGACGTCACGTTTGGGCATTTAACAATTTATAATATGGGTTTAAGGCGAAAATAACTTGATGTATTTAACACTTTTAAAGTTTTAATATTTCTTAAGTGTATTATTTTGTTGAAATTTTAGTTTTCAAATAGAATATAGGTGTATAAAGATCATGGTTTTATCTTGTTCTGCATATAATTGCACTCAAAGATATACTAAAGGGGTTTCTTTTCATGGGTACGTAGCTAAAATCGTTCTTTGCTAAGATCCTACGTTATATTTTGAATTTTAATAGTATATTAATTTAATATATCTATTTGATATTTTTTTTTGTTGGTAGTTTTCCAAAAGATTTAAAATTGAGGAGAAAATGGATACAAGTTATGCGGAGGGATAGTTTTACTCCTAGTAAACAGTCTAAACTTTGTGGTAAACATTTCACAATTGATTGTTATGAAGGAAGTCCTTGGAGTTCACAAAAGAAACTAAAAAGTGATGCAATTCCTTCTATATTTGATTTTCCAACATGTTTAAAAAAAAAGTACTTATTCTAGAAAATCACCAAAAAACAGACAAAGTATTATTTCAAATAATATCACCAATGATTCAATACAGTAAGTCTAATGCACCTAATCCTTTTGCAATGGCATATATTGATTTAAAATTATTAAGTTTATTTTTTGTAACATAATACCTATATATTTTTAGGAACAATAACGTTGACAATTGTATTATTAATGTTAACAATATTATCACCAATGATTCAATACAGTAAGTCTAATGTAACTAATCCTTTTGCAATGGCATATATTGATTTAAAATTATTAAGTTTACTTTTTGTAACATAATACCTATATATTTTTAGGAACAATAACATCAACAATTATATAATTGATGTTAACAATAATATCACTAATGATTCAATACAGTAAGTCGAATGTAATAACTTTACAATAGCATACTTTACAATTAATTTTACAATGGCATATATTGATTTAAGCGTTTGAGTTTACTTTTTGTGACATTTAACACCTTTATATTTTTAGGAACAATAATGTTGCAAATTGTCAAATCAATCCTAAAAATAATGGT